GTATTAATATGATTACCACATACATTTTATGCTCTAAAGTTATTTATGAGAACTGAATGTTTTTCTGGGATCAAATCACAAAGCTCCATATAATTCGGTCTCATATACTGTCACAAGCTCATCCCCGCTAATACACTCCTCTCTATCCCTCTGTGTCCTGTCAGGCAACCTGGCATTGTGCTTAAGAACATGATTTTAACATGTTTTTAAACTTAAGTTGCCCCTTGCGGGGGTTGGGGGGGGCACAAAATACAGATAAAAATAGTGACTGTCTCACCACAAAGAGGCTCACCCCACATGCCAGTACCAAAACCAAAACCCAAATAGCAAAAATGACCAGGTGTTTATGAGGATGTGGAGAAATCAGAGTTCTTAGCAATTCTGATATTAATTTAAAACAGAAATCTGCACCCATATTTTCCTGAAGTCATCTCAAACTATTCTATGACTGAGAAATCACAGTACTGACTATAACACAAAATTAATGAAAGCAAGGAAGTGAACAGTTATTCGGACATCCATTTCTTAGCACCACTACTTACAGTAACTAACAAGGGAGAGGCAATTCAGATAACTGCATATGGATGGGTGAGTAGTTAAACAGAATGGGATGAAATTCTCTTTGTGTGGGGGGCAGACACCATTCACCTTAAAAAGGAACATGCTGGCATGTGTTTCCACATGGATGAACATTGAAGGTATTAGCCAGCATGAAACAAACCAGTTACAAGAAGACAAATAATGCATGGTTTTCCTTTTGGGAGACACCTAAAGTACTTGAGCTCACAGAAAACAGAATTGGAGTAGTGACTGCCAGAGGTCAGGGAGGAGTAAGGGAAATCATTGCTTAGCAGGTACAGAGTTTGAGCTTAAGAAAGTGAAGGGATCTTCAAATGTCAGAGATGGATTTTGATGTGAATATATTTAATACCACAGAACCACACACTGAAACTTTACAAACTGCAAATTTTATTACATGTATTTTACTATACTACCACAGAACCCATACACTCAAACTTTTCAAATTGCAAATTTTGTTAGGTGTATTCTACTACAGCATATTTTTAAAATAATAATAACACTCATCACAGGCCATAGGGAAGTCATGAACCCAGCGTACATTTGTCATGGTACTGGCAAAATGTGAGCTCTTCTTTCTAGAAACTTCTTGTGCTACTATCACAACACTGAAGCTCACCACTCAAACCTCTTCTAAGTCCATGCATTCACTTCTCCATTGCCTGCTAAGTGTCCGTCTCCAGTCTCCCATTCATACTCTTCTAATATCACTGGGGCTTCTCTGTGGTTCATCCTTAGTTTTCTGGTCCACTTTGCCTACCAGACTCTGAGCTCAAGGACAGTATAAACTATTCCTTTCTTGTCCTTGTCAGCTACCTCCTGCAGATGTCTAGAATGTTCACCATTCAAGTAAAGGATTAATTAGGGGACTTAGACAATCATTGCTCATTCCTCCAAAAGAGAGGGTTCATTTCTCGTTAATGTTGAACAATTTTTAATTTCTGGGAGTAGCACTGAGACACTTTACCAGGTTGAAGACACATATGGTTTTGTAGTTCATTAGCTGTCTGTAACTCTAGACCCACAGGGGCCTGGTCCCCTTGTGTTGGCAGCTATACCTCAAAAGGATATGGCATTTTCTGAACTAAAGCTCAGTTTGAATCATGTCCTAATTGCTTTTCAACTGTTGTGACAAAGGATCATAACAAAAGCAACATATAAAGAGTTTATTGGGGTTTACGGTTTCAGAGGGTGAGTTCATGACCATCATGGTGTGGGACATGGCAGCAGGAAGGCAGAAATGGCTCTGGAGTAATAGCTAAGAGTTCACATCTGATCCACAAATAAGAGGCAGAGAGAGCTAAATGGGAATGGAGTTAGCTTTTGAAACCTCAGAGCCCACCACCAGTGACACACCTCCTCCAACAAGGCCACACCTCCTAACCCTTTCCAAGCAGTTCCAACATCTGGAGCTCAATATTCAAATTCTCAAGCAAGCCACCACATATCAAAAAGATGATAATGCCTTCAAGATTTGTCTACACCACATGCTGGCATAAAAAGGAATATTGTTCCTGGATCTTTATAGAGGAACCCCAGAGCTAAAATCAGATGCCAAAAAGTTTGCCCATCAGTTGAAATTCTCTGAAAGAAAAAACAAATATCCATAGATCCCTGTGAGGCCAGCATGTATAGATTGATGAATCTATCACAATTATCCTTCTGGAAGACATGGTAGACCCTTGGGTAGTGATCAGTGTGAGCAGAAATCTTGACTGTGGTTAGGTTGGGTTTTTTGAGACAGATTATCCTGTAGTCTAAGTGACTCACCCCTCCTTCTATCTCTAGAGTAGTTGAGGTTATAGACCTGGGGGCTACCACCCTGCTTTAGGGACGATGAGAATAGAACCTAGGGCCTTTGCTATTCAAGGTTGGAACTCTACAAAATGAGTTACTTTCTCTGTTCTAACAACTGATCTATCTTGGGAAACACCACATGTGTGATACTTTTCTGTGACCCCTTGTAACAAAGTACAAGTAACCAAATTGCTCAAGTAACAGGAAGGCATTACCACCTCACAGTCTTGCAGACTCCAAGGACAAGGCAGGATGGATTCCTTCTGAAGGCTAGGAGGAAAAAATATGTGTTGTGCCCCTGCTTTGTCTTGAGAGTGTTTTGCCTGCAATCCTCAGTATTCCTGGGCTTGAGCGGGCATCACCAATCTCCAATATTAACTCTCCACATTTTCTCCATGTGAATACAGTTCCTACCTTCCTTTTAATGGCATGCTTTAATACGCTTCCTTTCCCAGGAGTAATTTGACTAACTTGAGAGAACATCCAAAATAAACACAAATAGTTGCCCTGGAGAGGAGCATCAGGCTTTGCCATGAGTTCAAGTAATCCCCAGAGAGAAGAGCTGCACTTAAGTGGCAGAGAGAGGTGTAAACACCATAGTTAAAGAGCTAGATAGCAAATATTTTAGGTTTGAGGCTTTATTGTCTGTGTTACAATGAAGGCAACTTTGTCATTTTATGATAACAACCTTAACAAACAGTAAACAGATGAGCATCATTGTTTCCAATAAAGTTTTATTAGCAAATTCAGGCTCATATCCCTTGCTGGTCAAATTCCTTCATCATCCTACCATATCCTTTTATTTTATGCTGTTATTCTTTCTTATATGTTCCAATCAAATCTAGCCCACTTGCAGTGCAGTTTCTCCCCCCAATGCAACCCTCATTATTTTCGCCTTCATGCAATGTGTCAAGAATGATCTTCTACACTGACAGATGGTCTCACCCTCAGAACATCTTTTCTAGCCTGTCCTGGTTTTAGCTGAATGAATTCGAGCTCCCCCACCCTATCCCATGACCACAAAAAAAGATAACAGCACCAGCATCCACACAGGGCAACCCAATCCCGAGCTGGAATGGTACAGTGTGTCTAGAACCATGTGTATGCAGTGGAAAATACTTTCAGGTCATCCGTTTCGATTTATGAACCTCTTTGGCAGCCTTTGTTCTACTCTCGCATGAGGCTCTGCCAAGTTTATAAATACTTCCTCTGAATGACAATAAATTTGGTCTCCCCTAATCTTTCTCTTCATAGATAAAATCTCATTGAGGTTGCAATAGCACTAACACTTAACAGTAACCGTTTTCTTGCTTGATTTCAACACCCAAAGCAAATGAATGTGAGGGCCTCCTATGTCTGAGGTCGCAGTTGCTTGACTCGAGGACTCTTGCCTGTCTGTATCCTGACAGTTGGAAGCTCCCTCGCTTGGATAACTGCCTCTCGTGCTGTTTTAGTTTACCAAGTCAAGACCATTGATAAAACCCAGACAGTTTGCAGAAGGGCCTAGAGAAGGTCATTTCTCTGGACCCTTGGCTGCACCTTCTCCAACAACAGATGAATTCACCAGATGTGTCAGAAGCGGCTCTCTTTTCCTCATGCAAAATGAGCATGTCCTTTGTTTGATGAGCCTCGGAGAGCTTAAAGGTAAGGAAGCATAATAATATGTCATCTCCATCTTGGTTTTCTCCTTAATTCTTTCTTTATTACTTCTGCAACTGGCCAGGTGCTTAACATAGAGGCAGACACAGGGAAGACTTGTAAAAGGCATTCACCTATCATCGCGACTATCAACCTGGCAGCCGGCTCTCCTCTTTCCTGTAGCTACTCAACTCCAGAAAACTCCCCCAACCACTTAGAAACTGTTTCAAGAAGTGCTTGGTGCAGGTTATAACCTGAATTGATAATTAACCTATCAATCTTTTTTTTTTCAGCACAGTGAAAATTACCTTCTAGTGAGCCATGGGGGGGTATAAAACACCTTTGAATCCTGTTTTCTTTCCCTGTTCATTCTTAAATATGAGAGAGGGTGGGGGATGGAGAGAAGATTCAGCAATGTGGAGGAGAAACAGGCGAGAGCAGAGGCCAGACAGTCATGAGGCCAGATGCAAAGCCCAGTGAGGCCCCCAGAGTGAATATTTTCATTCCTCTTTTCTTTTCCCTTCTTTTTTATTATCCCTCTACTTCCGTTTCCTTTTTTTTTCTGCTTCTGACCCTCCAGATGTAAAATACATTCTGCAATGCCATCCTTTCTTTTCCAAGATTCTTGTAACCCCCTAATAACATTGACTAGCTATTCTTTAAAATTTGGAGTTTGTACAATGTCCTTTCTAATTAGTAATTATCTAAGAGTTGGATTTATTTCTTGGACCATTGGCCTGTCACTTCCACAAGTATAAATCGAAATGGAAAAATAAACACCTTCCTTCTCAGGACGGCTGACAGCAGTGATGATGGAGAGGATTCCTTCTCTTCCCCCTGTGCCCTCCCTCCCCTTTCTCTGGTTACTCACACTCAGCTGTATCACTCCAGTGACCAATGAGCAAGGAACCTACCATAGGCTGGTGACTCACAATAATCCACCTCCCTCCTAACAACCCACCTGTGACTTCCACTTCCAAGGGCGGGGCAGGACTCTGTACACAGTGTGGTCTCCTCTCAATAAAGGCTGCTGACTGAGGGCCAGGTGGCCGACAGGCTGGCCCCAGGTGAGCCCACAGGAAAGATGACACCAGTGAGGTTCAGAGTCGCTGGGGATGGCCTCTGGGAGTCCAGCATGAAACCTCCCTGGAAACTCTCGGACCTTGCAGTCCTCTAGATCTGAATTTAAACCTTCTCTAGGCTGGGAGAGCTTCTAACTCTTAGTCTCTTAGTTGTATTGTTTTCATCTGCAGACCAAAGAGAAGGCTGTCCATTTCGTTGATTTCTTGGGAGCATCCATCATACGGAAAGTACCTAGGCGATCGGGTAAGAGAAACGAGCATGGAGGAAGACAGGGACGAACACCACCACCTGGGAACTCATGAAAGTTCATCTAGAGTAGTGTAGGAGAGCAGAACCCAGCCAGCCCCATGTGCACAGAGACCGCAGGGAGCAATTCCTGGCTTCCAACAAAGGTTATTTCCCCCGAACTTGCTGACTACACAGCACCACCTAGGGGCAGAGCACGCGTGGAGTCTACAGTGGTCCCTGCAAGGCCAGCTAACCACACACACACCTCTGCCTCTTTGGCCCTTCCCAGTCTCCAGCCTTCCTTTTGCCTCTGCTCCTTTCTTTCCCACACCATGTCCTTTCCCACCCAGACCTCATTCCTTCTCTTCCTCTTTCTCTTCTTCCTGGTGCAGCATTTTTCATACTGCGGTCCTCGGGGCTTTGGACAAAATGTAAATCTGTGGGAAGTAAGATAACATTCATTCCCAAACAGCTCTGCCTCCACTCTTATGCTCCCTGTTATTGACTTCTTTTGGATGGCATCAAGAACTACTGGGTTGCCATGGTTACGCTGTCCCTGGGCTGGGACAGGGATGGCTGGGACAGGGACTCTGGTACTGTGGACAGTAGGGCCTAGGGATTTTCACTGCGGTCAGAGAGAAGGCAGTGAGATGGGTCTTAACTATATCCCTGGAGCCCACGTTTCCTAATGGAAGTCCCACTGTGAATATTTTCTTGTTCTCTGACAAAACTAAGGGCTGTGCCCAAAGAGCTCACAAGCTAAAAGAGGCAACAGAATTCTAACTTAAGATGGAAGAGCAGAGCTGGAGAGATAACTCCGAGGCTAAGAGCACTAGTTACTTTTGCGGATGACCTGGCCACAATTCCCAACACCTACATGGCAGTTCACAATTGTGTGTAACTCTAGGGTATCCAACACGCTCTTCTGACTTCCATGGGCATCATGCACACATGTTGTACACATACGTGCCTGCATGCAATGCACTTATCACATCAAATAATTTTAAAGCTAATAGAAGAGTGAAGGACTATTTTGGCCACGTATACCTTTTATAAACCTTTCCAATTTCCACCCTCCCCATTCTAGAAACTGTGATTTATACACAGTGCTGAAGTATTTCTTTTAAAACACATTTACAAAGAGATGTTGGATTCAGTTCAGCATTCTCTCCACACCTCCTTAAGTTTTTCTCAAGAGCTACGATTTACTTTCAAATCCCAACAAGTTGCCCTTGAAATGAGACCAAGTTTGTTCGATATAAAGTGTTTCAGAAATATCAGTATGAATACTGAAACACAATAATAAACTTCCTGGAGCATTGTCAGAATACATCACTTCTATAAATCTTTGTGTTTCTAAATTTCACAGAAAACTGTTGAATGCCTATTTAGATAGTCAAGAGCATAAATATCAACTTACTGTGCTCCTGCTTACTCATCTTTTGCTAAACCTATTGTTATTTGGTATACATGCTTGCTCTGATTATGGTAAACTAAATCCAAAATTTGTTTGGATTTTATAAATCATCTAGTTCAGATCAAAGAGCCTCAGAAAATACATTTAAATTCTAACCATTCCAATAGTGGCCAACACACACACACACACACACACACACACACACACACACACACAGTGGTAATTACCTGTGTCAGTTGAAGAATAGTTAGAAATGTCATATGTGCATTTGCTTCTCATTTTTCCCTTAGTGAGAAACATGTCTTGAATGCAAAGTGGAACCACAGACCTTAGCCATAATTTTACTTTCTATGGTTTCAGCTGCCTGTTATCAACTTCAGTCTGAAAATTGCAAATAGAAAATTTTGGAAATAAACAACTTGTAAGTCAAAAATGTGTTCCTGTATAACATAACAAAAATCTCTCACTATCCCATTCTGTCTTGCTTGGGATGCAAACCATCCCTTTGTTCAGCACACTCTACATTGTATATCCTACCAGTCTATTAGTCACTAGGTAACCATCTTGCTTATCAGAGCCACCGTTGGGCTATTGCAGTGCTGTGTTCAAGTCATCTTAAGCTTGACAGTGACCCCAAAGCATAACAGTAGTAATACTGGCAAGCTAGATATGCCAAAGCAAAGCCTGAAAGCTCTTCCATTAAGTGTCATCTCACATCACCACCGGAAGAACGAGCACGATACAGCAAGATCTTCTGGGAAGAGGAAGGATATCCTATTCATATTCCTTTTATTACAGTGTAGTGTATGATGATTCTATTATTAGATGACTCTTATGATGATTCTATTATTATAATCCCTTACTGTGTTCATTTTATAAACTTCCATAGACAAGTATGTATAGAAAAAAATCATACTTTATAAGGTTTGGTACTTGTGAAGTTTCAAATAGTTGCTGGAATCATTGGGCCATATTCCCTACGAATAAGAGGGATGGCGGTAATTGGCTCACATACTGTGATGTCCAAGAAAAGCAGATGAAAGCAATAGAGACAACAAATAGAAAGAAGTAGGATCCAGCCAGGTTCAAAGTTCTGTGTAGTTAAACAAAACTAACGTATATTTATTTTATTTTTAAAGCCATATGAATACAAAATTCAACTGGGTAGCTTTGCCTATGGATTCTGTCTGAGATGAGATAGCTCCATGTCCCAAATGTGAAGGTGGAGCTACTTCCTTCCTTAAATTATCATGTCAGTGCTATGGATGGAAACTGCAGGTAAACTAGCACCTCCAGCAAGTGCCGAACACTGGGCTTGGAGGCAACTTACCAATGGTGTCTCTGGTCTTTATAGATTCCCAGAAAACAGAGACAGAAATCCCCAAAATTTGCATGAAGGAATAACCACCAAGATACTGTAGAAGGGCAGAGTGGCTTCCTCACTGGAAAGTGACATCAAGGATAGAATTCAAGGGAATCCGTCGTGGCCGCCACAGCAGTACTTTGTATTTACAAGCTGTGTGCAGCACTGGTTCAACTGTTTCAGAGGACATGGCCTTATAAAATGTAAGGGTTTGGTCTCTGATTCTACAAAAAAATACATAATTAGCTCATTGATTTAAATTAATAGCCTATTACTTATGCTTGAAATTCTGTTGTTTCTCTGGCTTTTGAATACTGGAAAGACCTAAGAAGGATGAAATTTATTATCTTGGATATTACGGTAGGTTCTTAGCTATACCAGAAGATTCTTCATATGTTTGATTCACTTAAAGAGGGATCAAGTACATTAAAATTCAGAGGTGAAATTTTATACACTTTAAAAGGTTTCTTCCTGCTTTCTTCATCTTATTCACTTTTGTAAATATTGCCTTTGTCTAATATATTAGATAAGTTATCAGTTTGCTTATTTTCTGTTCTCTGCTTATAGTCTGTGAACTTCACTGAGGGCAAGATGGTGCCTGCCTTTCCATCCTAGTAGGTCCCCAGTGCCTGGTGTAGAGCTGAAAATTGACGTTGTTAGTGTGAATAAACAGTAACTAAGATTCGTAAGTAAAACTTGGAAATATAGGCCAGAATGGAGGAATTGCTTTAAATGTGCAATTTTAAAGAAATTTCTTTAATTATGTTTGTGTATGTGTGTCTGTACAGGATGCCTGAGGAGTGCAGAAGAGGGTGTCAAACCCCCTAGAGCTGGAGTCACAGGCAGTTGTGAGCCACAGCATGAGTGCTAAGAAACCTAACACTGGTCTTCTGCGATAGTAGTAGATACTCGCGACTCCTGAGCCATCTCTTCCTCTTCTGGAGTGTGGGCTTTTAGTATAGTAAGCACTATTTGGCAAAAATATAAACTTCTCACAAATCATTTCAGAACAAAGGGGTAATCCCCAAAGACACCAAAATCCACTTGTAACATCTCACAACCATGCAGACACACTCAATTTTGCCAGCTTTCAATGACAGCTGCTAGCCTCAACAGCCCCTTTGCAGTGTGGAATGCTCAGTCTCTCTGAGAAAACTGAAACAAAGCAAGAACTGCAGAATCTTTCTGCTTCTGTGGAGTCGGTGGGGCTGTACCTTCAAGCCCAGATTGGAGGGTATTTCTTTCTTTTGTTTCCCGACATCAAGCTGTCCTACTTAGCTTTGTGGCACTCCTGAAGTCCAATCCCAAAGGAAGCTACCTAGTGCAGCTGCACTGTCTTCTCATCCCTCCTCACTTCTCTCTGACCTGATTCGGTTTATTTACCATCTCAGTAGAGACATCAGAAAAAACTATCACCTGTAAGAACAATGGCAGTCTATGACACCCTGAGGGATGTTGGTATGTGGTGATATATTATTTATGGTTTAATAAAATTTGCCTGAGTATTTAGAAAACAAAGTCAGCCTCAAGCTATCGAGATCAGGCAGTTATGGTATACACCTTTAATCCCAGAACTCAGGAGACAAAGGTGGATGGATCTGAGTTCAAGATCAACCAGGGCTAAATGAGATTGAATGAATCTGAAAGAGTATAGTATAGAGCTCATGCCTTTAATTCCAGTACTAGACAGATATAAAAGATAGGATCAGGGTCTTCAGCAGTCAGTCTCAACCAGGGCTAAATGAGATTGAATGAATCTGAAAGAGTATAGTATAGAGCTCATGCCTTTAATTCCAGTACTAGACAGATATAAAAGATAGGATCAGGGTCTTCAGCAGTAAGTCTCGAGATTCTCCAGCCATTTTAATGAGAGCATAGCAGTCTAGGATTATAGTCTGAGGTTTTGTGGAGCCAGTATCACCTTTCAGTCTAAGGTAGAGGTAAGAGCTAGTGGCCAGCTGCTTTGCTTTTCTGATCTTCAGCTTGAATCCCAGTATCAGTCTCTGGGTATTTTATTTTCTGTGTTACATTGGTAACTGTCATAATTTGCTTCTCTGTTGATGTAATAAATATTGGACGTCCAAAATGTCCAAAATATTGGTCTGTAGTCAAGTCTGTGGGCATCTTTTTTAATTAATCATTGACGTGGGAGGGCTCGGCCATCGCTGGCTGTGTCACCCCTGCTCAGGTGGTTCTAAGTAGTATTAGGAAGCAGGAGCAAGCAGTAAACAGTGCTATTCAGTAGCCTCTGCTTCAGTTCCTGCTCTAGGTTCCTGCTTTGAGTTCTTACCCCGACTTCCCCCAGTGATGGAATATGCTAAAATAAACCCTTTTATCACAGCAATAGAAACCCTAGTAAGACATACCCAACGGCTTGGAAGATGCACTGAGATGATTCTATAGTATAGACCAAACGATTAGTCTCCTGAGCACATGCAGGCAAAACCTAAGAAGTTAGGGACACTTGATAAGGCTATGAAGTGTTTATTTTCCTGTAAAGCAAACGACAGAGCCGCATGGTCAAGGCTGTTGCACCCACAGGCTAACAGGTCTGAAAACAAGGCTGGTATAACCAGGTCTGTAACACTTCTGTAACTCAGACCTCAGTGTTGCAGCAATGTTGTGAATACATGGTACACAGTGTCCCCGTCCTGGAACATGATGTAGACATGTCATTTCTTTCTTGTCATTCCTATGCAATATACTCTACCCTTTCTCAGCGAATTACATATACTATGTCTATAGCATGATATCTAGTGATCAGAATCCACCTGGCAGGCTGCCCTTCATCCCAGGAATTCCTTCCTGGTTAATACCAGTTAAAGCTGCCTCCCAAGCCCCTTCCCCCAATCCCTCAAGCTTTCTCACTCCTTAGCTCCCAGCCTGTCTATGTCCTGTTCTGTCTTGTTTTCATCCTGTTGCCTCTCTTCTTTTGTTTGCGTAAGCAAATAAATTCAGAAAGCAATGTTTAATGGGCAAAATTCTAAAAACAACCAAACAAAGCCCCAGCTGTGGCCATTGAAAGCTCTTGAGTGCTTGTGAGGTAAACTGCTGAGGCTAAGCTCATATTGTAGCACTTTCAGGGAGGAGCCAGGCAATGTCTGCCAATGGGTAAAATTCTTGCACTCTTTGATGGCACAATTCCAGTTTAGCAGCTTTATTTCATAGATAAATTTGCACAATGTTGCCAGTGTATGAGTGTGTGCATGTGTGTGTGTGTGTGTGTGTGTGTGTGTGTGTTTGTATACAGACACAGTCTGTGTCAACTTACAAAGTTGTTGATAGCAGCATTAAAGCCTCAGGAAGCTAGTGACATAAATGCCCATCACTTGGGACTCTTTAAATAAAACAGCATATTAGATTACCAGCCAACCATTGATTGACAGATGCATTTAGATAGATGGCTAAGACATGTTGAATAAATAAAACCAATTTTAGAAGTATGCAGTTGTGTTCCTTTCTAGCTTAAAAAGTCAGGAGGGGTGCATGTTCTGTTGGGGCTTAGAAAATTATACACTTAAATATGACACATCGGTATGCTGATCATTTTAAAGTAAAGTTGTTAGGAATAGCAGTTACTAGATGAAGCCTTCTCGAAGTCCCCTACAGTGCTTCTCCAGAGAGAAACAGTTGCTCTCAGGCTCCATTCACTAAGGAAGGTTAAACATATCACAGAACAAGGAACCGGGTTCTAACATCACACCCAGATCCCACAAAAACTCTGTCCAGCCACTGACTTTTGGTTTTATTCACCTCTCTGAAACCATTTACTGTTCTCAAATTGTTGACAGCCCTCACTTCTCTGGTTAACAGAATGGTTAAACCACAACCAGCTGGCCCTAAAGTTAGTACTGAATGTGGCCTCTGTACACATGCTCACATTGATTTCATTTACAGGGCTGGAGAAATGGCTCAGAGGATAAAGGTAGCTGCCACGAAGCCTGATGACCTGACTTGGATCCCTAGGACCCACCCGGGTGAAGGAACTGACTGGATCTCATTATTCTTCTGGCCTACACATGTGTGCTGTGGTATATACACATAAAATTAAATAAATAAATAAAGTGATTTTTAAATTTTAAAATAGAATACCTTTCTCTTGTCTATCTGTTGCTAGTTTATTTCAATAAACTCAAGTCACTGAGCCTTCAGATAGAGTATGAATTTTTCTCTAATATATATACCAAATCTTCCCACAAAAAACTGTTCAGAACTATCTCTTCTGTCAAAACTGTTAAATAAATTTTAACACTCTCATCACAAAATTTATGAATTAATGATATGTTATAAAACTTGATCAAATCTTTCTATAAAGTGTACACACGTTAAAGTATGTTATGCTTCATAAATATACATAATTGTTATTTTTATTACAAAGTAATCTTTTTCTAAAGGCATCACCTCCAGAGAGTCAGACTAGAGAGTTAGGGAGGAAAATACTGTTAACTCTGTACTCTTAGAACATTTCTGCTCATGGGCATAATTTACATTTAAATAAAATACATTTAAATAAAAAAGATATTATAAATTCAACCAAGTTCTGAAGTGCAAATGTCCCAAGACATCTGTATTAAATGACAGGATACACTTAGCTACTGATGGTAAAATCCTCTTGTCAGTTTGAATATCAAGGGGTTTGTTATACACTACAAGATAACTCACAGAACTCTGGGAAAGGTTGGAGCATTGAGTTATAGACCAGACTCCCAAGAAGGTCTCCCAAGGCTGCAAACTGTGGAAGGGAGGTCACTTTCACCACCACGTCAAGACTACACTTCCTCTGTCACTTTCTGTAATGAATACACAGATAAAACAAAATCACATCATGCCACAGAAATATACACAACTATTATTTGTCTGCCTTGTGGAACTCATTCCACACTGAGTCATGCGCAGGTCAGACTGGCCTGTGAGATCTAAAGCATGGGTCTCCTCTATCAGCAAATGGGGCTAGGAAAGAATGACTCTAAAATTTTGCCCTTGAGAAAGTAAAATGATAAATGAGAAAACAGCAAACTACAGAGAGATGTTTGAAAGTTCAGGCAATAAAATGACAGATAACTGCTTCATATAGGTCCCTGCTGGAATCTACTCAATTAAACATATCTGAGGAGAAACTTATTTTTAAATTGGGCTTGTATCAAATTGAAAACATGTAATAGCAGTGATCTAGAATCTCCCTTAGTTAATCATCTGTCAATTAAGTCTGGGAAAAATTTTGGCTTGGCAGAAATAACCAGGATTTATTTCAAATGCTACTGAAACCCAAGTAAATTTTGGATTTGATGGATTTGCTCTGAGTCCTAGAAGAGTGCTCTTAGCTGCCATTTGTATGACATCCATTTTAGGATTAGGCACCATGCCAAGATCTTTGTAAATAAAGAGGTATGACCATTAATTTTATTGGTCAGCCTGACAGGGCTAAGGAGGATGCCCAGATATCTGGAAAAACATCATTTATGAGTGTTTCTAGAATGGTGGTTCCCAAAGAGAGTCTCATCTGAATCAGCAGGTTAAGTAAAGACCACCCTCTGCAACATGGGTGACAGCATTCAATCTCTTCAGGATCTAATCTCTCTCTCTCTCTCTCTCTCTCTCTCTCTCTCTCTCTCTCTCTGACATAGGATCTCTTTTAGTCAGTGTTCTATTGCTATGAAAAGACAACTAACATAATAAAAGCTATATACAGCAAACCAACAGCCAACATCAAGCTGAATGGAGAGAAACGCAAGGCAATTCCTCTAAAACCAGGAACAAAGACAAGGCTGTCCCCTCTCCCCATAGCTCTTCAATTTTGTACTTGAAGTTCTAGCTAGAGCAATAAGAAAGCAAAAGGAGATCAAGGGGATACAAATTGGAAAGGAAGAGGTCAAACTTTCACTATTTGCAGATGATATGATAGTTTACATAAGTGACCCAAAAAACTCTACCAGGGAACTCCTACAGCTGATAACACCTTCAGAAAAGTGGCAGGATACAAGTTCAACTCAAGAAATTAGTATCTCTACTATATACAGACGATAAGAGGGTTGAGAAAGAAATCAGAGAAACATCACCCTTTACAATTGCCACAAACAACATAAAATACCTTGGAGTAATGCTAACCAAACAAATGAAAGCTCTGTATCACAAGACCTTTGAGTCTTTAAAGAAAGAAATTAAAGAAGATACCAGAAAATGGAGAGATTTACCATGCTCTTGGATAAGTAGGATCAATGTAGTAAAAATGGCAATCTTGCCAAAAGCAGTCTACAGATTCAATGCTATCCCATCAAAATCCCAGCAAAATTCTTCACAGACCTTGAAAGAACAATTCTCAACTTTATATGGAAAAACAAAAGACCCAGGCAACATCTGGAGGCATCACCATCCCTGACTTCAAGCTCTATTATAGAGCTATAGTCCTGAAAACAGCTTAGTATTGGCACAAAAATAGACAGGTAGACCAATAGAATCAAATTGAACACTCTGAGGTTAGTCCACAAACCTATGAACAGCTGATTTTCGACAAAGAAGCTAAAATTATACAATGGAAAAAAGATAGCATCTTCAACAAGTGGTGCTGGCATAACTGGATGCTGGCATGTAGAAGACTACAGATAGATCCATGTCTATCACCATGCACAAAACTTAAGTCCAAATGGATTAAAGACCTCAACATAAATCCAGCCACACTGAACCTGTTAGAAGAGAAAGTGGGAGGTACCCTTGAACAAATTGGTACAGGACACCGCTTCCTGAACATAACACCAGTAGCACAAACACTGAGATCTCCAATTAATAAATGGACCTCCTGAAACAGAGTAGCTTCTGTAAGGCAAAGAACACAGTCAGAAAGACAAAAAGGCAGCCCCCAGATTGGGAAAAGATATTCACTAACCCCACATCTGACAGAGGGCTGATCTCCAAAATTTACAAAGAACTCAAGAAACAAGTAGCCAAAACACCAAAGGATCCAATTAAAAAGTGTGTGTGCGGGTCTAAACTAAATAGAGAATTCTCAATAGAGGAGTCTAAAATGGTTGAGAGACACTTAAGAAAGTGCTCAGCATCCTTAGCCATTAGGGAAATGCAAATCAAAACAACCTTGAGATATAATCTTACTCAGAATGGCTAAAATCAAAAACACCAATGACAGCTTATGCTGGAGATGATGTCTAGAAAGGGGAACACTCGTCCATTGTAGGTGGGAGTGCAAACTTGTACAGCCACTTTGAAAATCAGTATGGAGATTCCTCAGGAAAATGGTAATCAGTCTACCACAGACCCAGCAATTCCATTTTTAGGCATATACCCAAAAAATGCCCATTCATACAACAAGGATGTCTGTTCCACTATGCTCATAGCAGCATTATTAGTAATAGCCAAAACCTGGAAGCAACCTAGATGTCCCACAACTGAAGAGTGGATAGAGAAAATGTGGTACATTTACACAATGGAGTACTACTCAGCAATAAAAAAACAATGGAATCTTGAAATTTGCAGACAAATGGATGGCACTAGAAGAAACCATCCTGAGTGAGGTAACCCAGTCACAAAAAGACAAACATGAAATGTACTCACTCATATATGGATTTTAGACATGGATCAGGGGAGTGTCAGCCTACAATCCCAGTACCAGTAAGTCTGGGAAACAGGGACGTTCCCAAAAGATATGCATGATACCCCCAGAGAAGTGGAATGAGGCAAGATCTCCTCAGCAGATTGGGAATATGGGGGGGGAGAGGAGAGGGAACTAGGAAAAAGAGGGGGGGGATAAGAGGAGGGAAGAAGAAGACATTGGGAAGCAGGAGGTTGAGTCACGGTAAGAATAGAGGAGAGCAGGATGAGAGTTACCATAATAGATGGAGTCATTATAGGTTTGAGGAGAGAACTGACACTAGTGAGATTTCCAGAGATCTACAAGGATAACACCAACTGGCAAACTAAGTAATAGCGGAGAGACTACATTAATAGCCCCTATCTGATGATAAGGTTGATGACTACCTTATATGCCATCCTAGAACCTTCGTCCAGTGACTGATGGGACTGATGGAAGCAGAGAGAGATACCCACAGCTAAACACTGAAATGAACCCCTGGAATCCAGCGACAGAGATGGAGGAGCGATGAGCAAAGGGGTCAAGACTGTGATGGTGAAACCCACAAGACAGCTGACTGGACAAGGGGGAGCTCTTGAACCCCAGACTGATGGCTGAGAGGCCAACAGGGGACTGATCCAGACTCCATGAGTGTAGTGTCAGTGAGGAGGCCTCAGAAATCTCTGGGGCCTTGGGTAGTAGATCAGTGTTCACCATGGGGTACAAATGAACTTTGGGAGCCCATTCCACATGGAGGGTTGCTTTCTCAGCCTGGGCACATGGGGAAGGGCCTAGGTCCTGCCCTGGATGAAATGACAGACTCTGGAGATTCCCCCAAGGTAGGCCTTACCCTCCCTGGGGAATGAAGTGGGGATTGGGCTGGAGGCTGGGGGGGGGGGGGCTGGTGGAGAGACAAGGGAGGAGGGGTAGGAGAGGAAGCTGGGATTGACATGTGAAGCATTCATGTTTCTTTTTATTATTATTGTTGTTATTTTAATTTTAAGTAGCTTGTTTTACATGTCAATCCCAGGTCCCTCCCCTCCTCCCGCATCCCCCCCCCCACCATCCCATCCAGCCTCCCACCCTATCGCCACTTCCTTCCACATAGGGGATATCTAGAGTCTGTCATTTCACTCAGGGCAGGGTGCAGGCACTCCCCTAAGAGTCCAGGCTGAGAGAGTATCTCTCTTTGTGTTATGGACACATGATGTCTGTTTGTATGCCAGGGATAAACACGGATACACTGCCCAGGGCCCCATAGGTTGCCCAGGCCTCCTCACTGACTCTCACATTCAGGGGGTCTGGATCAGTTCCATGCTGGCCTCCCAGCTGTCGGTCTGGGGTCCAAGAGCTCTCCCCTGTTCAGATCAGCTGTCTCTGCTGGTTTTGCCAGCCCATTCTTTGCCAATTTGCTCATCATTCCTCTCTCTGTGTCACTGGGTTCCTTGGGTTCGGTTCAGTGTTTAACTGTGGCTGTTTGCCTCTGCTTCCATCAGTCACTGGATGAAGGCTCCAGGATGGTTATAGACATCAAGTTCATTATCAGGAATGGGCATTCAAGGTGGTCTCTCCACACATGTTTCTAATTTAAATAAAAACATACAGTGAGAAAAAAAGATAACATGACTACTGGAAATCTTATAAAAGAAAATATTTAATTGGGGATTGCTTAGAGTTTCAGAGTTTAGTCTGTTGTCATCATGGTGAGGACCATGGCAGCATGCAAGCAGACATGGTGCTGGAGAAGTAGCTGAGAGTTCTGCATCTGGATTCCCAGCAGCAGGCAGAGAGAGTCACTGGGCCTGGCTTGAGCTTTAAAACCTCAACTCACCACCAATGACACAAGTCCTCCAACAAGACCACTCCTACTCCAGCAAGACCGACTCCCTATTCCTTCTCAAGTAATACCACTCCCTGACAACCAAGCATTCACACATATGAACGTATGGGGGTCATTCTTATTCAGTCCACCACACAGATTTACTATATAGCACAGACTGGGCTGGAATTCACACCTTATTTCAGGCTGGCTTTGAACATACAATCCTCCTTCCTCCACTTCTGAGTGCTGGAACTACCATGCTCACCTCACTCTCTGTTCTTTAGTCAGGATGTCTGTCTGTTTCTGCCTTCAGCATCGGAGCTCTTGACTCTCCATCTTCAGACTCAGACAGGGTTTTACACAATTAGCTCTTCTCAGTCTCAATGGACTAAGTTACATTGTCAACTTTAATTCACCAGATTGAAAGGCAGCATACTGTGCGAGGTCTCACTAAGTCACATGATCTTATTCCCATAATGTATCACATCATATAGATCTTGTATATTGTAACTCAGGCTTCATCACGTAGTGCTACAGCCACCAAACCTACAGGATATTCTGTCAATCAGTGTTCAACTTGCAGAAAGGATGAGGAGAAGAAATAGAAGGAGAGATTTCGTACAAGGTGAAGTCAGCTTGTGCAGTTGAAGCTGGCTGAGTGAAACTGTACTTGTCAGAACAGGCTATCAGCCTGCAACCTGCAACTCCCAGGTATGGGCTGGACCTGCAGTCCACAGGTGGAAATTCTTCTGAGAGAAGCCTCCATACTACCTGTGGTGGTTTGAATGAAAATGGCCCCCCATAGGCCCATAGGGAAGTGGCAGAATTAGGAAGTCTGTCCTTGTTGGAGGAAGTGGAGGTGGGCTTTGAGGTTTCAGTGTCATTCTCTCGTCTCACTACCTACCCATCCATATGTAGAACCCTCAGCTACCTCTCCAGCACTGTCTGCCTGTGTGCCGCCATCCTTGCTGCCATGATGACAATGGGCTAAACCTCTGAGCTGTAAGCCAGCCCTGGTTAAATGTTTTCCTTTATAAGAGCTGTCATGGTCATAGTGTCTCTTCACACATTACAAACTCTAATTAAGACACTACCTTACAGACTTTCAAATAACTGAACCAGATGCCCAGATTATCTGTAGAACCATCCCCTGTACAAAGTCAACTGATACTAGACTTCAATCATACCTACAAAGTACCTTCCCTGCAATGGCTGTTCTAGTGTTTGAATACTCAAGATTAAGACAAAATAAGTTGACCTCTAAGACTGCCCCAGTAAAAGATATAGGACATTTTATTTTAAAACAAAGACTTTAATGACTTTCAGTCATGCACATAGGTGATAATTTGGAATCAAAGTCATTGAGAAAAGAAGGCTTTGTATTCTTGTCATTAACTCCATTTATCCAGTCAACAAATGTGTACTGACTACCTTACTGCCTGCCATCATTCTTGGTATTATCAGGAAGTACAACAGATAAAAATACTTCTCCCCATGAAATTCATATTCTTTGTATCATTGAGTGGTGGCTATTTTAAGCTTCCTTTTGGCAGTTAAATGAGATTGAAGATCAAATGTCTGAGATCCAAAGAAAGTGCTGTGGTACAGAGGTGAGGAGAAGATGGATCTAATATGGTAGCAGTTTAGTTAGAATCAAGGAAATTATGAGTAGTGTTAGGAGAAGTCAACAGCAACAACAATATCTAGGAGTCCCTTCCCTACTCTGCTGTATTAGCCTCCCTTGTCACCAGACATCTTTTAAGGTTAGAGACACCACCAATGGGTCACTGAGGTGAAATGGTGCCCAGCATGAGGACTGTACCACTGGAAGCAGAGGGCTGGCTGGAGGGAGGGGTATAGTATTCACAAGAGCAGTACATTAGTCAAGCTCTCTGGATAGAAATAGAACTAGTGGGGGGGTTGTCTTTGGAGATTTATTTCCGGGAATTGGTGCATGTGTCTGAGGGAGCCAGAAAGTCTGAAATCTATTGGGACGGCCAGCAGGCTGCAGGCTCCATCTGGAGCTGGTGCTGTGACTTAAGGCAGATTTACTTCTCCCTCCAAGGAATTTCAGTTCTGCTCTCAGGGCCTGAAGACTTTCCAGTCCTTTAGGCTGTTGATGTCTACTGGCTGGGAAGTTTAAGCACATTCACAAAGTACTTTTCCACAAGCACCTAGATTCATGGTTGCCAGAAATTGGCCAGGTAGGTACATAACATTAACCAACATAGGCGGAGAAGCAGAGTAAAGACGGAAGGAATCTAAGAGTCCTCTGAACAGTGAAGTGGAATGGACTTCTGTGAGTTGGTGCTTGAGACCATTTGTTTATTATAGCATTAGGGGGAAAAGACCAACAACTTGGAAGTAAGAAACAGAATGACCACATGCCTTGTGGGTGTTAGCCTGGAACAGCATCTCTACGGTCCACCCAAGGATGAGCTCATTTCTGGAGGCATATATAAGTATTAGAATCACTGTTTACTACTGATTAGATTTTATAAATTGTTATTCTTATTGGACTACAATGCAATTATTTTGTTTCATACAAAGAATATTTCACTCAAGAAATCATACTTTTCAAAGGTTATACTTTTATTGACCAGATCACTAATTAGTTTTGTTTCTTACTTCATTACTACTGTTTTCTGGCTGTCAATATCTCTGTGCATGCTAGATTCTTTGAAGAAGTATTATATTTTGCTTCTTCCTCATCAATTGATGTACAGCTCTTTGATGTGTACACATTCTATAGAAGACCTGTTTTTTTTTAAGATTTTATTTTTATTTGTGTGTTTGTGTGTGTGTGTATGTGTGTATTGAGTGTGTGGAGGTCACAAAAGGGCATAAGATCCTCTAGGACTGGAGTTACAGGTAATTGTGAACCATCTAACATGGATGTTTATCCTCTTAACCACTGAGACATCTCTGCAACCCCTGAGAGGCCTGCTATTAACATTTGAAAATGACATTTTGACCATAGGAAAGGAAAAATGACCCTGTTACATGACTTGCCCTACAGAGCTATGCAAAAAACATCTATTCACCACAGATAGGTATCTAATTACAGACCAAAGAAATGGTTCCATCTATGTCTAGCCTAGTGAACTTGTATGCTTATTGTAGCTACTTACAAGGGCATTTGTAAGGGTTACTTACAGGAGCATTGGTGATTTAAAGGCAGTTTCATGAGCCAACAACCCAAGCCAGTATGGGTGATTACTCATCAAGGGTGTATCTTGGAGCTCTGACTAACTTGCAGTCATTTATTCAACTTCAGTCTCTTTCTGCAACAACAGTCACCATTTTTATAATTTTAAGGAGGGATCTTGTGTTTCTTGCAAGTTTCAGGAACTTCCTGGGCCTTGTGAATTGGTTTACTTCCAGAGTCCTAAACTGCTTCCTTTTCTCTCAAGGAAGAAATGATTCCATTTGGTGGAAACAACTGCACGATAGTTCACTTCTCTTCTCATTCTTATCTTCTTTCCACATCCTCTTCTGTGGTGTTTATAGAGCTTTGGAAGGAATGACATGGATATCTGATTATTGTCTTCAATTTATGGCTGAACATTGGGCCACTATGCTCCTGCATCAGTTATTTAGTCTTGGAAACTGGAGTAGTTATCAGTACCTGCAGGGGAAAAAAGAACCTTCTGTAGTTGATTGGTTTTTACTCTTTACTATTTGGGGGCCTGCTACCCAGCTCCCAAATAAATACACAGAGACATTCTTTCTTATGAATGCCTGATCTTAGCTTGGCTTATTTCTAGTCTGTGAGACTTATTCTTTCTTATGAATGCCTGGCCTTAGCTTGGCTTATTTCTAATCTGCTTTTCTTAAATTATCCCATCTATCTTTTGCCTTTGTGTTTTTATCTTTTATATACCTTTCATTACTTCTTACTCTGTGACTTGCTGTGTAGTTGGGTGGTAGTCCCTGATGTCATCCTCTCCTCGTTTTTTCTTGCTCCTCAATCTTCTCTTCCCTGATTTCTACTTCTGTTTATTCTCTCTGCATGCAAACCCCACCTAGTTTTGTCTCCTGCCTTGCTATTGGTCATTCAGACAAAGTAACATAGCTTCACAGTTATATAAATGCAATATAAAAAATGCAACACTTCTTTGCATCACTAAACAAATATCACACAACATAAACAAATGCAACACATCTTAAAATAATATTCCACAGCAACCTTCTCTCCATGAATGAAAATCCCAACAACAATAATTTATGGGTATAAACACAAATGTTTTAGAAGGCAATTTGATGAATATATCAAATCTATATGTCAAAATGATAATAGTTGTTTCTCTTGGTGTGGCCTATGAACTTCCAAGCTATAAGCTTTTGCCCTGGCTTACAGACTAGATGTGAGTTCTTCCTATAGAGTAGGCATTAAATCCAACTGAAAGACAATTGGTTTCACCCTTAGCAGTTATAGCACTATTGCATCAGTAGACCAGTCTTGACAGATAATGTTCGTAATGTAGCATACAAGTTTCCATCGTCACAGAGGATTACTGGTGACAATTTTCTCTCATCTCTCACATGTTGTCTTCCACTATTAAATAGAGGAAGAGCTTTCTTCTCAGTCCCAGTATGATTTCTACATGTTACAAATAAAATATGATATATTCAGCAATAAAGATTTAGCATCTAGTTTTATCATGCAACCAATAGCAATGGCAATGGCCTTGTAGTTCAAGGACACCCCCACCCCAGCCAATGATTCATAGGGAGGTAGCCCAATTCTGGTACTAGAATTTTCGTTCAACAATCTTGTACAGTTGTTCTCAACCTTCCTAATACTGAGACCCTTTAATACAGTTCCTTGTGTTGTGATAACACCCAACCATGAAATTATTTTCACTGCTACTTCCATAACTATAATTTTGTGACTGTTGTGAATCATAATGTAAATATCTATGTTTTCTGATCATCTTAGACAACCCCTGTAAAAGGGTCATTTGACAACTAAAGGTGCCATGAGTCACAGGTTCAAAACCACTGCTTTAACTTCTGTTTTTGCTATTATTCAATATTAATTTCCAAATCTGTATAATACTCAGTCCTTTGCATAATATAGTGAAAACCCTTTTACAAAAGGTTAAAAGTATCTCCAAATTGCAATCACTATTCATTCCAAGTCAGTGCCAATCACTCTTGGATGTCTAAGAGGATATTAATAAACAAATATTAGCAAGGTTCTATGTAATAAGAAAACATATCATTATTTGCATCAATTACTTCACTAAAAGAAAAATGTTGAATATAACATCATGGATGGGGCACACTACTCTATCTAACTTTCCATAGTCCACAGTTAATTTACAAGAACCATTCAACCTTCATCCTGCAGTGCATCCTCAGTGACTGGGCATCTCTCCACCCACAGTCATCTTGGCAAGTTTGGATCAGGCCCAAGGGGCACAGAGCTGTCCTCTTGCCTATTGTACTTGAAACAGAAGTCATCTCCTCAGTCCTAACAGGCTCTGCCCAGCCCTGTGACCCTTGACTTCCCATAAACCATACCTGGTTGTAAAAAAGACCCCAAATAGCCAATTTTTATCCCTAGAATACTTTCTTACAGAGGAGAACAGCATACTCTGAGGAGAGGGCTAATATCCTACCTCTAGGAAGAGTTTACGCTTTTCCACATTTATACTGTTTTATTTTTCACACGTTTCATTAGCTGTTGTTTAATCTTCATAAAGGTTTCCAAGAAACTCATTAGGAGAACATTTGGTTTTCTGGTCATTGTTTTTCCCCTATAAACTCTGACTTGACACAAACTTTGCTACGTTTGCTTCTAAATCGTTTCCTTCTGCTAATCTGCCTTATGTCAATTGTTAACTTTGCATTGGAGTTTTCAAAAAGAACCTGGGAGTATGGAGGAAGCTGGAATTATTGTCCCTCTGTTGTAAATCCAAACCCCAGTCCTGGCCTTCTCTGTGCTGTGTCATCCCACGACTGGATACTGAGGAAAATACCCTAGAAATCTAAACTTTTCGCATTCTGTGTGACAGCCAGCTTTCTCTTCACTATGGAAAAACCAGAAAGAACATCTTAAAAGGAAGAAAGATTTATTTCACAGTTTTAGAGTTTTTTGTAACAGAATTTTAGGGCAAAATCCTAAACTATACTTGGCCACTCACCCTTAGTACACAGATTAAAGAAGCGATGATGAAAAACAGAGAGGGGGAGAGCTGGCCATGTGCACAGGGAGGGGGAGCAGACAAAGGCTCCCGTCATCCCAAGTCCATCTTCAGGATACTGGCATGAGCTCTGGGCTTACAAAGAGGAAGAATTGGACCAGGGATGAGAATTATGCCGAGTTAGGTGGGTCTAGTGAGGATGTGGTCCAGTTGATCTTTGAATATGGGTTCTGCAAGATCGTCAAAGAAACAATTAATGCTTCCAGGGGCAAAGTGATTCTCAGGAGATTATTTGTGCTCTAGGATACAGTCAAAGTCGCACTGTTGTGGATGGCTGATTTCATCCGGGGGCAGTCTGTCCTGAGAGATGTTGCTGATCGTGAAATCCAGAGTAAGTACAAGTTTGGAACAATGTCTGGAGATCTTTGGGGACCTTCGGAAGATTTGGAATAGGACATTATAAGACCCTGACCAGCCAGGCAGTGATGGTGCTGCACAAATTTAATCCCAGAACTTGGGAGGCAGAGGCAGGTGGATCTGTGTGAGTTTGAGACTAGCCTGTTCTACAAGAGCTAGTTCCAGGACAGCCTACAAAGCCACAGAGAAACACTGTCTAGAAAAAAAAACCAAAACAAAACAACAACAACAACAACAACAAAAAACAAGACACTGACCATAAGCTGTCTCAGTTGGTCTTATCTTTGTGCCTTTAAGTTCAACAGGTAATGGGATAGGTACCATTTGGTTTCTGGATACACACTGCTTGAGCAAGCATGCTAGCAGTAAGTCAGTGACTAAACGGATGGAGACAGATGGAAAACAAGAACAGTGATGTCAAGCTTTTACCCAGTATTTAGTTACTTTGTAAGTCCATTATGAGGAATCTGTGCTTCTTAATAAAAATGTTTTAAGTGTCACTGTAGGTTCAGGCCATAGTCAGTTGGTTCTATTATACGGGCCTGTGATGAGGCCTTCAGGGATGTAAGACTATGTCATGGAGCAAGGTGCTTACTGATGACACAGTAGTCAAAAAGTAGGAGGGGCAGGAACATGGCATACCTTCCCAGGACACACCCTTAGTGTCGTACTTTCACCAATCAGGTGCTAGCTCCCAATAATGTCATGTTGTTATAACAGACTAAAAACAAATTTGTGACAAATAATGGTGTCCTACCAGGAGGGAACTGACCTGTCTTTCCTTCGATAAGCTTTGACTTTCAACATAAATGACATCCAGCCACTTCTCATTCCTTTCTTTCACCTACTCTATCACAGCCTGTCCTTTCCACATGTCACTCTAAATCATAATGAGAACGTGTGTGACACCTCTTCCTCCCTTTTGAGCATCAATTCTTCAAACTTGCTGAATTAATGTTAACAGAACACAGGAGTTCAGACTTGATGCTTTCAAAGGAAAAGATAAACTCCATCAGAAGTAAAAGGCCTCTGCCTTCTCCCTCCCCGTGTTAGGTATTTTCTGTAGCTATGATAAGACACCATGACCAAAATCAGCATATGGAACGAAGAGTTTATTTTGCCTTGTGGTCCAGAGAGAGTGCCCAGAATGGTGGGGGAGGAGCTGATGCATGGTCCTGCAGCCATTTTGATTCCTAGTTTTCACTCTAGTCCACCAGCAAATCTGATTTATCCATACTACTGTCCAGCATGCCACACAGACTCATGTCAATAATGTCAATTACCAACCTCCAACCCAAAGGTGTCACTTGACTATCTGCTACAAAACTGGAGGATGATGGGAAGGTGGAGAGAGGTTCTTAAACAAGTCACACCCTAGTTCAGGAGGAAGCAGCCAGAATGATCTTGACACTCCCATCTGTAAGATTTTCCCTATAAAATTGTCCTTCTTTTTCCCTCATATGAGCATGTCATACAAGTAGAGAGTATGTCCTTCCTGGAAACAGGTCTTCCAGGTGGCACAGCACTAAATAGACAGGGTTGCAGGCAGGCTTAAGTACACACCCCGCTCCCTGGCTGCCCAGGCCTAGAAGCAGGCTGACCACTGTCATGTTACATAAGTCCTGTTTAACTAAGTCCATTGTTCTGTGGACTTTTTCATACTACCCCTACCCATAAATGTCCTTGAGACTTTCAAACACCTGCCTCAACCTAAACTGAAAAGAACACAGTGCCTCTTAGCCTAATTTGGTAATGTCAACCAACTGTAGACTCACTTTGTCTTGGCACATCCCCTCTCTAGCCCTCCTTCCCCATAAGGGGATCTTAGATGAACAGCCTTGTTTTCCTTAGGCCTGCAAAGCTTTATTTCAGACCCTTCCATGCTGTCAGCTTCAATAAACTTTCAGCTTAAAGGATAATCTGACTCTGTGCCTTTCTTGAACTCCGTGCCTTTCCCTAAGACCTCATTTTCTTTATGCACTCATTCATCTGTTGACAGACACCTGTGCTGAGTCCCTAACTTGGCTATTGTGAATGGAGCAGCAATGAACATGGCTGT